TGGTAGGGGAATGTGCAAGGCAAAAGAGCTTGGTGTTTTACGTTGTTGAATATGCACTCGGCAGCGAGTAATCAAGGCTGTTCTCATTGCCAAAGAATGTGGAGCTCAAGGGTATAGAGCTGCCGACTAGCTTTGTAGCTTTGCCGAGCAATCTGCTGAGTCGTAACACTGCCCAAACGCATATGCTTGTGCTCCAACGCCGAATATAAATGGATTGTAATGCTGCCGAGCAACCTTGTTGACTTGCCAACCAGCTCCATTTGCTTTGAAACTCATGAACTTAATGGCATATGAACTTCAGGCTTTCGCTTTTGTGGATGAGTTTGATGATTGACCACAGCCACTGACTGCTCGGGCTCAAGTTTCTTGTTAAGTGGTGTTGTTGATAAGCTTTCTAGAGAGAGAATCTAGGCCCAGACTTGGGTCTTCTTGTTCTTCGGCTACACATGGCAATGGTGTTGTCAAACTACTTTGCGATTAGTAATTGGACCACTTGTGTTGACACTACAGTTTTCACAACCATCCTCTTGGTGCTTGCCGAGCTGAGCTGGTACATTTGGGATGTCTCAGAACATTTAGTCGGCAATTCCTACTTGGGTGTCGGCATACTGAACCACTTGTTTGGCAACGCTTAGTATTTGGGTTTGTTGAAAACTTGAGCAGTAATTCCTCTTTGACTTTGCCAAAAATATTTCTTTATACCTGCAAAAAATTATACAAGTGGAGAGAGAGAGAGAGAGAGAGAGAGAGAGAGAGAGAGAGAGAGAAAAAGAGAGAGAGAGCATATGAATGTAAGTGTAATCGTTCAATTCCCCTAGGCTGCCTTAGATTTAGAGATGTGAATAAATTCCTAGCAATACTTTGGTCTTACTTTATTTTGGCAACTTGACCAGTTGACTATGTGCTATTGCCGAATGATTTCACTGGAATGGCATTTCCGAACTTCGGAGGCAGAGATGTATGACCGAATTTCTTTAGGCAGGGCATGATTTCGGCGGGGTTTGTACTACCACGTTGATCGGCAAGTCAAAATACTACCACGTCCATTTTACCCAGGTAGATATATATATATACATATATTGGTGCTGAACTGGTTGTATCCACGGAGTGCTCCACGGAAAGGGAGACGATAAAAGTTAGTTCCCAATAAATAATACTATGCAACAATGTAAAATTTTTTAGAGAGAGAGTTAAGACCCAATTGCAGATCTACTACCTTTGGCTTGTTGTTCCAACTGTTCTAAACAAAATTAACATATATATTTTTTTTTGACAGAATCTGTGAACATAAAGGTAGAGACATATACATACATATATCGATATATGATATTCAGAAACATAATCAAAAAAGGAGAAGACAAAGACTTAACTATAGATAGAACACTGGTCCGACCTCTTTAAGAGTGGTGTTTGTTCTGCTCTTCATTGAATTCTCAGACGATTCCCACAGACGGCGCCAATTATGAGACTATGAAATATCCTCTCATATAGATTGTAGAGATCCAACGAAGAGATGAACTTTGTCCCTGTGTATCTGCAAAGATGAACATGATCGACGTCACCCAACCGAGGTTGCTTGTCGGAGACACTCCGATGTTAAAGTTAGTCCTTTGATTGAAAGAATGAATGCATAGAAATCAAGAGTGTTTATGTGCTGTGTGGGGGAGAGAGATCATCTGCTCACTTCTCTGTGGTGCCCCACTCTTTATATAGATGAGAGGGGTCTGATATTTGTTTGGGTTAGACCCCTTGTAGGCCTTGTTTGGTTTAGTCCTAATAAGCTAATATATATTATTTTCTAGCTCCCATAACACTCAACACAATTCGGGACCCTAACATCCATAACCGTTACGAACGTTTCACATTATAGACCGAGCATCTTTCAACGAACCCAACATAATTCACAAAAATATTGCAATAGGAAATACCATATTGTAAGACACACTCATTTCTCACAATGTTATTCCACATTACTATAAATACAAGCACAAATAGAGATGGCCCATTACATAACTTCACCCCCGATGCACAATCATAAATTCCACACACACAATTCCAATTTAACATCATTACAGTTGTAGAAAACCTTTGAAACAACTTTGTCACAAACATACCTGAGGCCATGGGTGACCAAACACAACCGGCGTTCAACGTCGAAAGTCATATGTGAACTCGTCAACTACCCTTCCCTAACGTTGCTCGTAACGTTAAAGGATTCAGTGCTCGCTCTGAGTTGGCAACGAATATGTAATGCCCAGAAAGGGTTTCTCCTATTTCTAGGGTTTGAGACGAATATGGATGTTAAATTTGAATGTAAATTTAAGGCTCCAACATTACCAAAATCAAATCACACAAACATTGCAACACAGAACCTTCCATCTTCGTCCCTTCCGTTTCGATTGGTGGGAAGGAAACCAAAAACCTCTACTGTATGTTGTTGGGACACATCTGTAATTTCCACATCACCAAAATGCCATATATACCCCTACCATTTGGGTGACATGCGCTCAAATTGTGTACAAATAGGTCATTAACATTGAAATTGGACTTATGCGTTGGAAAGATAAAACACAAGACCAATTGGTTCACAAGTTCTTATCTTGGGATTTATTGGTGCTTTACACTTAAAAAAAATTAACAAAAACATTAAAAATAATAAATTATAAATGAAATTAGACATTCAAGCCTCATTTGGCAACATCACTTTTTAGCTTAAAAGTCACTAAAAAAATCAAAAAAGCCAACAACCTATACCAAAAAGTCAAAGATTCACTATTCTCTCTATTTTTTGCACATCTTTTCGTAAAAATTAAAAAGTCATCCCAAACATACTAATTTTCTTACATTATATTTTAGTCAACAAGCCAAAAAGTTACTAAAACATATTCCCAAATGAGGCCTTACATAATAAAGACAGGTAATTAGTCATTGTACAAAAATAAAAATAGAAAATAGATGTAGAATTTACAATAAAACAAGTAGATAGAATAACTAAAGAAATTTTACATTATCAACAACTACTAAACTTATCTTGTGTATAAAAAAAAATATATAAATTTAAAAATAATAATAATAATAAAAGCAAAAACATAAAAAGTACATACAAATAATTGTTTTCAAAAAATATAAAAGAATTTAGAACTCTGTGAAGATAGTAAGAAATATTGGGGTCAAACTGTAATTATTGGCCATGATTGGAGAGAAGTTCTCTCTAACACTGTTGGAGAGGATCCAGATCCCACTTTTTTTTATTTGGATCCTCTCCAACAGATGTTTGCTCTAGTAGTGTCTAGCAATTTGTAACAGATTGTGACACGTGAAGAGGAGCTAATCTAATGGGCTGACAAAGGACCATGTAGTACAGGTATTGAAAAAAAAATAGAAACGACATTGTTTTGATTAATGGTGAGCATAACACAATAAAGTGCAACCATAATCAATAACCTTCTGTAGTCATAATTGTGATCTTAAAAGAAAGGGGGGTAGGTAGAGATGGCAATGGAGGTCGCAGTGATAGATTGAGATGGATTCAGAACGGTCACCGAGGCTTTGAGAGTGGCTAAGAACAATCCAAGAGTGATGTGAATGGTAACGCGCTAGTGCATAGTGAATGAATTAGTGGCAATGGCAGACGAAACTGGAGGATAGCGGCAAAGGTTGCCGACCAGAGTAAGGTTGGAGTAGGTTAGGGTTAGGGTTAGGGTTTGAGTTTGGGAAAGTAGAGATAGGCATAAATTTATAATTTGATGGGGTTATTTATACGAAGACCCCCTAAACTGTTGAAAAGTATCACTTTAATCTCCTGAACTATAAAAGTACAAATGCACTCTCTAAACTATTGATCACTTTGTTCCTTAAACTATAAAAGCATGCAAAATAGATCCCCTAAACTTAGGATTGTAAAAATGGCCCGAGACCCGTGGGCGGCCTGGGGTGGGCCCGGCTTGTTTAGGCCCATTTCGGCCCAAGCCCGAACCCAGCTCGAGACCCTAGGCCTGGGCTATCATTTTGAAGCCCGACCTATCGCCCTGCTGAAGGCCCACTTAAGGTCTGCACCGCCTGAGACCTAGTGTTTTTTCTAATGGAAAATAATAAAGTTTTGGCAAAAAAAAATAAAAAATACATATAAAAAAAGGTTCAGGCCCGTCCAAGCCAGAGCCCAGGCCCACCGACCCGCCCAAGCCCCGAATACCCCCAGTACCTAGGCCTAATTTTCTGGGTCGTGGGCCTGCCTAACTAGGTCCGAATTTTGGCAGGAGTCCGTGAGGCCCGACATGGGCCGGATCGGGCCAAATTTACACCCGTTCCTAAACTATTGATGTGTTTCATTTTGACCTCTTCCATTAGGGGTCAAATTGGTACATTTTTAGAGTCTATTTGTACACTTTCATAATTTGAGGAGTCAAAGTGATATTTTTAATAATTTAGGGGGTTTTTATATAAATAACCCTAATTTGATGTTATTCACCCAAAAAAAAAAAAAAAAAAACCTAATTTGATGTTAGGACAAATCTATAATTAAAAAAAAAATCAAAATTCAAAGTAATTATTGGAGTGGTATACTCGTATTTTAAATTTTACGCTATGTTTGGATTGAGTGATTTGGAAAGAAAAGAAAAGAAATGGAGAGATATGTATTTCTCTTATTTGTTTGGATAATCTAAGTGGAGAGAAATTGAGAGAAACTCATTTCTCTTATAAGCATCATTTTCAATCTTCCCAAAAGTGAAGAGATTGGGACAGAAAAGAAACCACTATTTTCATAATACCAATTCTGTCCCTATAAAAATAAAAAAAATAAAATGATTGAAAATATAAAAAAGTTATTTTGATAATATAATATAAAATAATTTCTTTTTTTCTCTTAATAAAATCCAACCAAACAAAAATAAAAAAAATCACAATCGTTTCTTTTCTTTTATTTCTCTTTTATCCAAACAAAAAAATATATATATATTTCAATCATTTAACTTCTTTTCTTTTATAACTTAAATAATCATTTCACTTCCTTTCTTTTCCTTTCCCTGCTAGATTCCCAAACATGAAATGAGGTGGCATCGTGAGAAGAGAGCATTTGGGCATTGCAATTGCAAACCACGCCACCCACAGGAGTCGGTTGCTACACGGAGATCTCAAAGGCACAAAAGAGGTTCGATTTCTTCGTCCTTAAGTAATTACTCGACTCATCGTCTTTCTCAGGCCTACCTCTTATATCTATATATATAGACTATACATAGAGATAATCGAGAATGAAGATTAAAGTAAACGCATTGTTCATTTCTTTGCTCTTTTTCTTGATTTGGTCTTCTTCTTCTTCATCGATCACCACCACAGCTATGGCTGATTTATCTATGCCAAAATCAGATTCAGCTGTTCACATAATCTACACCGAGAGGCCTCAGAACGAGGACCCCGAAACCTACCACATCCGCACCCTTGCTTCCGTCCTCGGCAGCGAGGACGCAGCGAAAGAGACACTGTATGCTCAACAACAAGACCCACTTCGCATCCTTCAAGAAAACTAGTTGATCGAGTTCTCACTTCAAATCTCGCATTCGGATTCGAGATGGAAGTTGGAGGCGTTGCTCTGCTCTGCACAAAGTTTCTTTTCTGTAAGTGCACACGGCAGAAATCTCTCTCCATTTTTAAACAATTCGATCTTCCAAACCCAAACCGACCAGGCACATGCATCTCCTCCTGGTTATTTTGTTCGTCTGCAGAAAAGAAAAGGTCCAAAGGCAGCTCCTGTCAAAGCTGATGCTCAGAAGGTTGTACCACCTATTGAAGTGCCAGCACTATCCTTGCACATGGGGGGCACCCACTCATTTCTTTATTGTTTTCTTTTACTCACCCATGTGACCCACGATGCAACCTATACTTTTTCTTTTCTTTACACTCTTGTTCCCCACTTTCTTTATTATATATATATATATATATATATCTTTTTATTATATTATATTAAAAAAAAAATC